AAATGAACTACTGGGACCTCATCAAAATAAAAAGCTTCTGCACTGGGAAGGAAACAGTCAGCAAAACTAAAAGGCAACTGACAGAATGGGAGAAGATATTTGCAAACGACATATCAGATAAAGGGTTAGTATCTAAAATCTATAAAGAACTTATCAAACTGGGGCACCTGGATGGCGCAGTCGGTTAAGCGTCCGACTTCAACCAGGTCACGATCTCACGGTCCGTGAGTTCGAGCCCCACGTCGGGCTCTGGGCTGATGGCTCAGAGCCTGGAGCCTGTTTCCGATTCTGTGTCTCCCTCACTCTCTGCCCCTCACCCGTTCATGCTCTGTCTCTCTCTGTCCCAAAAATAAATAAACGTTGAAAAAAAAATTAAAAAAAAAAAAAGAACTTATCAAACTCAACACCCAAAAAACAAATAACCCAGTGAAGAAATGGGCAAAAGACATGAATTGACACTTCTCCAAAGAAGACATGCAGATAGCTAACAGACACATGAAAAAATGCTCAACGTCACTCATCATCAGGGAACTATAAATCAAAACCACCATGAGATACCACCTCTCACCTGTCAGAATAGCTAACATTAACAACTCAGGCAACAATAGATGTTGACAAGGATGCGGAGAAAGAGGATCTCTTTTGCACTGCTGGTGGAATGCACACTGGTGCATCCACCCTGGAAAACAGTATGGAGGTTCCTCAAAAAATTAAAAATAGAATTACCCTCCAACCCAGCAATTGCACTACTAGGTATTTATCCAGGGGATACAGTTGTGCTATTTCAAAGGGACATATGCACCCCAATGTTTATAGAAGCACTAGCAACAATAGCCAAAGTATGGAAAGAGCCCAAATGTCCATCAATGGATGAATGGTTAAAGAAGATGTGGTATATATATACAATGGAGTATTACTCAGCAATCAAAAAGAATGAAATCTTGCCATTTGCAACTACGTGAATGGAACTAGAGAGTATTATGCTAAGTGAAATTAGAGCAGACAAATATCTTATGACTTCACTTATATGAGGACTGTAAGATACAAAACAGATGAATATAAGAGAAGGGAAGCAAAAATAATATAAAAACAGGGAGGGGGATAAAAATATAGAGACTCAAATATACAGAACAAACAGAGGGTTGCTGGAGGGGTTGTGGGGGGGGTGCTAAATGGGTAAGGGGCATTAAGGAATCTACTCCTGTAATCATTGTTGCACTATATGCTAACTAACTTGGATGTAAATTAAAAAATTAATTAATTTAAAAAATCAGAGCTTAAAAAAAGGATTTTTGAAGACGTTAAACTGAGAATGGAGTGACTGAGTTGTCCCTTGGTCTGACTTGATTCAAAAGATGTGGAACCTTCTCTTAATTCTGGAAGGCCTATAAACCTGAGGCTCTAGACTGTGAGCTTATAGTAGGACTTGTCTCCCTTCACACTTCTCTGTACCACCATCCATTTCTCCTTCTCATTTTCCCTGGTGCAACTGGTCAGCTTTAAATTATTTCTGAATGTTGGTGAGAACTGTTTGTTAATATATATATATATATACATATATATATATATATGTATATATATATATATTTCCATTATATAATGCCAACTTTAAAAAGAGTTTGCATGCCTCTATGTTCCAATCTTATGATTTAACATTTGATATGGTGGCATATTTTGGCTCTAGAGAGGCATTTAAAAAATCCTGGTTATTTCAAACCAAATTGCCTTAGTCTGCAGACAAAGGGTCAAGTAGTAACTTTCATGCATTCTTCAGACCCCAACACCTCTACTTTGTTTTCTGCTTTCACCACAGTGCTATTTCTGATATCTTTTCTGGAGGAGGCAGATGAGAAAAGTTTTTCCTCCGGAATTCCAGTTTCACACCAGAGAAAGACAGACATCTTCTTGCTCTGGTTTCTGTTATTAGTGACAAGGAACCTGGGCAAAGACTAAGAGTTTTACAGTGTTTAACTGGCAACCAGTCCATGGCCAGCCATATTTGATTCATCACCAACTTATATCAGCTGGTGTTGATGGTAGTCATTGACAAAGTTGTGGGTATGGGAGTATGATTACCCATAACCTCTTTGGTATTGAGTAGGAACCCTGGTATAGAAAACATGATGATTTTTAGAGAACAAAACCCATGTTTGAGAATTCTGCTTTTCCACTTTATCTCTTAAGCTTTCACAAGTCCTCTTCATACCCTGATTACAGCTGAGAGATGTAATACAAGTTGTCTGGTAACTGTAGCACTGACAATGACTTTGCACCCTTAGAATATTTGCCCTGATTTATTTATGAAGTTGTTGTATAAAATAAACCTATCTAATATTACTAAAACTACTAGAATTAATCAAAAAATAGTGTCTTCTTCCCAGGCAGGTTTGGACTAGGGCTTCAAATTGAACCCCAATAATTGGGGTGAAGCTGCAACCCAAGCAATTTCTGTCTATGGAAAATTTCAGTCTGTGAGGACCTTTCATCCCTATATCTTATTTCTTGGACACCCCCTTATCATTTTTGTTGCTGAATGGCTAATAGCACCCTCATAGTAGCATCTGATTAGTGTTTGACCTTCATAAATAGCTCCTCTCACTAACATCACCCCACCTCTGTTACAAAAACTCTGTATTTTGACAGATCATTTATCTTAGCAAACTTTAATATTATGTGTTCCTTTTCCTCAAGATCTTATAGATAACCAGTAAGGGATTTAATACACTGGAACATGATAAGGTTACATGGGCAATTTAATATAGCCCTTAAGAGTATATGCTTTAAAGTCAAACTGTAATACCAGAAACATTATATTGTAAATAATAGTTGTCTAATCAAGCATAACTATTATTATATTGTAACTGTCATCAATAGCAGCAGCAGCAACTTATAACTGGTATGATCTTCACCCTCCCCAGGTATTATAATTTTTCTACAGGCCTTGAATGGCTTTGCCCATTAAAGTGAGGAATATGAAATTTTCTCTATTGTCTAGCTAGCCAATGAGGGAGGACATAATCTTGCTGAGATATTATTCAGCCTTCTAATCCTTCTGCTATCTTGCACTGAAAGCACCCAGCCCTAATCAGTCAGAGCTGCAGGCAGGGCTGGGGCAGCACACAGCAGACAAAGAACTGGCCAGGTGATTTGGGCTCGAGTGTGGTCACTTTGAGTTTCTCACTTCTCTCCTCTCAGGAGCCATATGGGCAGTGCAACCCTAAACTTCTCGGGTTCCGAAGCTGAAATTTATAAGGTATCTTTGAGCTCATGTTGGATGAGCAGATAAGAAGACCAAGATTTTCCTTCCTCTAATTGAAGCCCAGCAGTCTTAATATTTCACACAATGGAGTTTAAGATAAATGAAGAATCCTAATTAATGCTTGGCGAAAAGCTGGGCAAATGCACACCCTCTTCCTAATCTTCAAGATGGCACAAGAATTGGCATCTCCTGAACTACTTACAATTGAAACTAAGCATAGTGGTGATAACATTCCTACTGGTTCAGACTGATGGTGGGGCCTTTCATATTTCTGGTGTAGTAACTGGAGACTTGTCTGTCTCCAAGGATGCTAACTAACACTGAGCCAGCCATGAGCCAAATTCGAATGCTTTTCTGACTTTGGCTACTATGTTGTTGTGCTGGCTCTAAAATAGAACATATTTCTCAAGTGAGTTAATGCCTACTTACTGCTTTGTTGTAATGTTTAATTATTGTAAATGAACCTTAATTGTTTAATTATTAGACCAAGGGTAGATAAGAACTTGCTGCAAGCAAAATAAAAGACCAAGCCTCTCTCTATATAAAAAGGCATATACGTTATATATACATATCTACCATACGTGTACCTACATATGTAAAAGTATTTTATATATGAGTGTTTGTGTATAAATCTATTTTTACTTATGTTTTAGATACACCACCTTATGCTGGGTTTGATTCAGTGGTCATAAATGTGGACCGCAAGAGAGATGCTGCCCAAAGAAAGAAATGGTTTGGTTGGCTCAAATGGTGAATTCCCTTTAATAACAGAGTTACTAAGGACTATTACTAAAGACTATTCTGCTGAACAATGTTGACCCTATCCTCTTGTTGCTTTCCTCTTTGAGAAAATAATTCACGCTGTGGTGAAAGCCTAGAGTGACTGCATTGTATACACTGCCAATTCAGGGTGGAGAGAGGGTGGCCCCATGTGAATAAGGTTTCTTAGATGGAATCTGGTACTTACCCCAAAGAAGAACTGATCCTTTGAGGAAATATGCAGGAAGGAATATTCACTTAAATTCTTTCTGATTTGTGATGAACAGTACCTGCCCGTCTTAAAGGAATATTGACCTCCTTTTTCACAAGAGGAAAAGATATGAGACCTGAAAAATTCAAACCAATTCTAGGAATGTGTTCTTTTCACAACCAAATCTTTTCAGAGAAGTTGTTTCTTGTGATCCATTTCTCAAATGCACTCACAGAAGGCATTGGGAAGTGATTCGAGCTTACAGTGTCTAAGAGTAATAACTCCTGTTAATTGAGTACTTACCATGTGTCAGGTGCTGAGCTATGTGTTTTACCTATATTTATCTGTTTATGTCTTAACAATGATCCTATTAGGTGCACCCTATTTATGTCTACATTTTATAGAGAAGAAAACTAAGGTATGGAAAGGGTAAGTAACAAATCCACTGTCACACAATCAGTAAGTGGCAGAAGCAGATTTCAACACAGACAGCCAGGCTCCAGGCCCCATCACTGTAACCCCATCACTATACCAATACACCTTGCATTGGTTTGGGAATGGTGCTGAAGGTTCCAAAAACTCAGAATAAATTAGGAAAAATCAGCTGGTTCCCACTGATTTTGAGGGTTCTCCATTACTGATGGGAAGTCTTGGAAAATATCTACAGAAAAAGTGAAAACAGCAATAGCATCAAAGGTTCTGATGAAAACAGTGTCTCATTGTGACTCAACCCTTAGAAAAAAGTCAAGACTCCTGTTTTCCCCTGCTTAGCACTGACTACTGCAGTAGAGGCAGGAAGCACAGTGGAGTTTAACTCTTGGTAAGTGTATTTAACAGCTCCCACTCCTGGGGCTCATTAACCACAAAGGAGGTGACTGTACAGAAATGGTTACAAGTCACCCAGGGAAGAACTGGCTAATGACACCAGTCTCACATTCCCAAGCCCAGAGGTAAATTACACGTACCCTTCCAAGGACTCTTTTAGTGCTGCTACAAAACTAGTAGAGCTTTTAGAAAAAAGACAGTTGAATCTTTATATTTTCTTAGCTGCCTTGTACCATCGTATGTGTACTTGATATTTTAAAAAGAAGCTCGAGATGTCATGAAATCCTCTGGAGGGTTATATAATAATCCTTTTGTACAAAGTCCTTACTAATTGTCTTCCTAATGTCTAAGGTTACTCTACTCATTTGAAAATTACTTCATTTAGCAAAGGGTATTTTATAAAATATGTGGCCTGCAGAGCTTGCCTTAGCCCTGAGGGGGAAAAGGAGGATGCTTCCTCATATGTTTAGGGAGGGCTTTTTCTGTATTCTTTCAACAAAGTTTCATGGAGCAGCTGCTGTGTCTGGGTAACTACCTAGAGGCTGAGAGAAATGCAGGGTTAGATGGCATTAACCCTGCAGGGCAGGTTAGGTTGATTCAGAAGTAATGAACTAAAATAGCAGAACAGGACTTGCTGTCATATAGACCTGGTTGATGTGTTGCTACCAGTTTGGACCATCCTCATTTGTTACCTCCACTCAAGTTTCTTCCACACTGAAAACCAGCAAACAAACTGAGGAAGATAAAATTGAAGATAGAACACCACAGATAATGTTTTAAAGTCCAACTTATTTTAGTACCCTAGCTTCAAGACTCATTTTAGTATACAAACAAGTCTTATGGGAGCATACTTACAAAGCTGAAAGTCATGAGAAAGAATTTCTAGAGAGGAGAGAAAAGATGAATTGGCTCTATGGTTCACCAAAACAAATACTTTCTGGGTAAATAAATTAGATTATGGCTCCAGATCTGCCACTTACTTGCTCTGTTAACTCTGTAAAGCACAGCCTGTCTGAGCTTCAGTTTTCTTCTTATAGGACTAACAGTACCCACCCTGATAGGGGAGTAAAAGGAGCCATAGGTTACTCCATAACCAGATTATTTTTGGAGGGAAAACTGAGTGAGCTCATAGGCCATTAACTTTTAATTACTTTCTGTCTAGCTATTTCCTTTTCCTTTTTTTCTTTTTCTTTTCTTTTTTTTTTTTTTATTTTAGAGAGAGTATATGTATGTGCTCACATGTGTGCAAATGGGGGTTGAGTGGGGTAGATGTAGAGAGAGAGAGAATCTTAAGCAGGCTCCTCGCCCAGCATGGAGCCTGATGCAGGGCTTGATCTCACAACCTGAGATCATGGCCTGAGCCAAAAACAAGAGTCAGATGCCTAACCAACTGAGCTGCCCAGGAACCCCAGCTATTTTCTTTATTTGTTTGTTTGAGATAATATGGAAACAGGGAGAGTGCTTCTGTAATGCTAAGTGACTTCTTACGCAAGGAATCTGGAAACACTCTTGTATCACACACCTGGCATGCACCACTTCCAGTTCTTTCTGTCTTTCCTGTCTGTAATTCTAGCCGCTACTGTAGTGACTAGTTTTACATAATTTCAGGCTCAACCTGACAGTGATATGCTCTATACCCTTACTTTGCACTTCCTGCCAAAGGTTAATGCAGACACTTAGAATGCCACAGGACCCTGCTAGGCACCCAGGCAAAGACAACCTAGAAATGCAAAGTGGGTAGCACCCCATGGGATAAAAATTTGACCAATAGGTAATAGGACCCCATGAATTGTTTTATTTCCCCCTTGGCTCTCAGAGAGATTGTCCTAAGAAGCTGTTATAGGGCTTCTCAGAGATGGTCTTGCAACACCAAGCAGTAAGTTGAACATAGCAATAGCTGGTTTGATCAGCATTCTTGTATTTTCCTCCATCCTTCTCTGTTTGATACTCCATATTCCTCCTTCTGGATTATACTTCTTAACAAAGTTGTATGATGTAAGACTTTTGTGCAAGCTCTACTTTCTGAGGAGCCAGGGCTAAGACTTACCCTAAAGCAAATGCCTCATAAAACGATAATTTTTCTCTTTAAGATATGCCCCCAGCATTCTTTACAACCTCTAAACTGTTGACCAAGGTAAAGTCTCAACCCAGCCCAAGCTCTACTCCTGGAGGGAATAGCTTACATACCAAAACAATTGCAGAAATTTGCTAATGTGACCTGCTAAGAATAGATACTACACGTGTAGGAATGGAGTTTGAGGGTCTTCAACTCAAGGATAGAGGAAAATATACTGGTATGGGTTACCCATCCATGTTTTGGATTTGATATCCTACAAAAGAAGCCCAGGAAGCAGCTGTAATAGTCTGTTGAGATGTGTCTTGAAGCTTGGTGAAAAGAATGCTAATATCAACAATTGTGGTATAAAGCCCATCACTCAATTTCCAGATCTAAATCCATTCATGGAACCATAGTTCAGTGATTAGTGGGAAGCCCAGAATCCCTTGAGGAAAGACTCTTCAATGTAACCATAAGTATATACAGGAAATATTTCTCTGATTTTTCCCCCAAATGACCTGTGGCCATTTGTTAGAGTAACTCTTGCACTGTTGAAGGGGAAAACTCAGGCCCTTTAAAGTCTGTTAGATAAAGAATCAGGGCTGAAATGATACCAAGGGATCTGAAGTGCCACCAGGCATCTCCAGTAAGAGTGGGAGCTCATTGGAGCTACATCATCACAGTGGAGTTTTGGCCCACGGTTGTCTCACGGTGGGTGCAAAGTATTCACACACCCATCTTGAGGTTATTTCTTATATTCTGAGTATATCATTGGGATAAATACATCAGCTGGTAGGAAGGGCCTAGTAGAAGCCTCTGAAACTGCTATCCCTGGCCAAGATTGTAGAACAGAAACAGCACTGCATTCCAGGAGGAATTGCAGAGCTTAATGTCACTATCAGACTTGAAGGATACAAATGTGATAGTCACCATCATATCCCTGGTTCAATTTACCTATCTGGCCCTGAATAATCCTGAGGGAATCATGAAGAATGATATAGAACCGTCATAAAGTTAACCAGGTGGTGGCCCTAGTCACATCTACTGTGCCAGATGTGGTTATCTTTCTTTCAAGTGGATTAAAAGGGCCTCTGGTACTAGGTACGAGACAGTGAAACTGGTGAATGTGTTATCCTCAATGCCCATAAGGAGGAAAGATCAAAGGCAGCTTACATCCACACTGTAAGGACAGCAACTCCCTTGTGAAATTTGTACTTTCTGTCCCTACAAACTTAAGGTACTGGTTTCTACTATGGGGTGAAGAAGTGGGAGGGCCACTTCTACCAGGTACACAGAAAAAGTTCCACTGAACTTGAACTGTGAACTACCACAGTGTGGACTCTTCATGCCAGTGAGCCAGCAGCAAATAAGGGAATTGTTGTATAGGCAGTTGTAGACAGTCTTGATGACTATGTGGAGCTAGAGCTCCTGCTCCAGAATATGACCACAAAGGAGTATATCCAGTATCAGGAAGACTACCTTAGTGGCAGTTCTCTTGATTTTGCATACTTATTCTCTGCTTCATTCCTCTTGCCCCCCCCCCCCCACTCTTGCTCTTTGCAAGCCAGAAAAGTAGTAATACAGAAGCTTTTGCCTCAGGCTCCCCTTTCAGGAGACCCCTAGTCCAGGCTGCTGTCCTGCTGGTAGGTTTCAAATGTACTTATTTGCTGAGAGAGAATTTATATGCCAGGCACTTTACATAATTTCATTTTATTTAATCATCATGATGATCTTTAGAGGTCAAATAATTATTTCTATTTTCCAGTTAGGGAGATGGTTTAAGCATCTTGCCAAAGAACCTACAGCTTACGAGTAGCAAAGCCAGGTTTTGGCCCAAGAAGTGTCTGAGTCTAAAGTTCAAGTTCATGGGGCGCCTGGGTGGCTCAGTCAGCTAAACGTCCGACTTCAGCTCAGGTCACGATCTCACAGTTCGTGGGTTCGAGCCCCGCGTCGGGCTCTGTGCGGACAGCTCAGAGCCTGGAGCCTGTTTCAGATTCTGTGTCTCCCTCTCTCTCTGACCCTCCCCCGTTCATGCTCTATCTGTCTCTGTATCAAAAATAAATAAACGTTAAAAAAAAAATTAAAGTTCAAGTTCAGTGCCTAAATCAGTGATGATAAAAATGAGGATTCAGAAAGAAGACAATTCCTTCTGTCACTCCAGTAACCCCCTTTGCAATACTAGTGGTTGGTTTTCACTTTAAGGTTTAGTTTTTCCTTTTAATATGCAATTTATTATACTTGTATACTTATATACAATTTATTGTATACTTTAGTATACAATATACTTCTATACAGGCTAGTATACTATGGTAATGTTAAAGACAGTGGTAGGGTTCCATCATTGTGAAACATGTGATGGAGGAAATCAGAGTATTCTTTTTAACAAACCAAGAAGTAAGAAGTGAATATAGAGGTAAAGTAAAAAGTCAGTTCATTAAAAGTTCTTCTCCTTCAGAAAATAATTTGTTTCTAAATAAATTCAGCACAATAAAAAACATAAGAAAAATGTGAAACCTTATCATATAATTTTAAGTTTGATATGTCACCAAATAAAGCAAATGGAAGTAGAGTGGAGAGAAATATAATCCATAAAGGAAGTGAGAAAGGTTAAAGAAGTCAGCAGTAATTAGATGGTGGCTGAAGCTGAGTGGAAATTGATCTGTATTAGCTGAAGGCCATTCCTGTCTTTTAGAATGTTATACACCAGTCTATTTTGATATACAAAATGTCATTTCTGAGTCAAGGTCACTGATTCAAGACTGCAGTGGATTCCTGGTATGCACATTCTAATATTCCATACCTGCTGGCAGGTATTGAAATAGATAAGATAATAAGATTGTGTGAGACTATAAGAGCTTCATTGGTTTGCTGGCTTTTTATACTTGTGGAAGCTGAAAGCACATTGACTTGATCCAATGCAAATGGAGGTGAAAGTGGTAGCCAAGCTTTTAGCTGGCATGGCCTCTGATGGTCATCTGTCCCCAGGGTTATATCTGTTCGATAGGAAGCTAGATAACAGCAGGAGGCTGGGAAAACTTGCACTCTACTTAGATTCTGTTGTGGTGTTACCACTGAATGTTAGCTGTTCTTATGTAATGTATCTAATAGGAAACAAAACTGCATGATGATTATAATTTTTATTATGAATGGTAGCACTATGAACCATCAGTCATTATTATGAAAGATGATGACAGTAACTACCTTTGTTCAGTGCCTACTGTATTCTGGTTCTTTTTAATATAAATTGCTGGACTTGGAACTCTGGAAGGTAGATGCTGTTCTCACTTTCTACATGAGGAAACTGAGGCTCAAAGGGAATAAGTAACTTGCTTCAAATGAAGGCTGAGATAGGAAATCAACAAGGCTCTTTTCTGCTTTTTCCCTTATACAACATGGCTGCTGATTTATTTCTAGGAGTCTAACTAAGCAAGGGCAGACTTTAATAAAATCCTTCATATTCCCAGATGGCGTGTTGCAGAGTAGGATTAAACCACATTTTTGGAGTGATGAGTAACTATGATTAAGGCCATGGTTGAATCAATAATAACAGCAACAAAAATAGAGTTGATTCACTATATTGGGGCCATAATCTTTATCAAGCAATGTGAGAGATGCGTAGTCAACCATAGAAGGCCATTGAACACATGCTAAGTGAGTTCCTGGTGCTTGAGTTATATTAGAGGCTAGAGCTGTGAAAAATAAGAAAAAGTTAATACAAGAATAAATGGCATTTTTAGAAGGAGTTCTCATGTTTTAGTAGTAGTCATCAAATCAGAATGGCATTATGCTTGTGGTAATTCCTCTATTTTTTAGCAGTCTAATACATGTAGTAGTCTGGGGCAAGTATTTAAATCTGAATGAAATTCATAGATCTATATTTTGATTCTAAAGGTAATTCTTAGTTCAGAAGCTGATGGCTAATGACAGAAATTCTGTGGCCTGGGAAAAGACTTCCAGTATTTCGTTTGGGTACCTCAAACTAATGGAAGGAACATCAGTATCCTGAAGAAGCATAGTAGAGACTGGCCTGAAGGAGCATAATGTGAGATCCCCTGACTGAATCCTAAGCATCTCAAAGGACATGGCATCATTCTGTCCATTCATTCAGAGATTAGACACAAAGCTGAATCAAGTCACAGTGTAAAAAGCAAGATTATGTCTGACCTCTTGGCACCTGTCAGTCTGGGATCAACCAGATGTTGACAGAAAGGATAAAGATTTTGGTATCAAACCCTAATTTTGTTCCTTATTCCTTAATTGCTGCAGGTACTTTTAAACCACTTTGAATTTCTGTTTTCTCACCAGTAAACAGAAAGTGATAACACTCACCTCTCAGAAAACCCTACTAGGATTACTGGCAATATTTTCAAAGTGCTAACAAACAAAATACCTCAATATATGGTAGCTAGTGCTAGATTTACTTATTTATTTATTTTGAAAGAAAGAGAGATCAGGGGAAGGGCAGAGAGCAAAGAGGGAGAGATCAGGGGAAGGGCAGAGAGAGAGAGGGAAAGAATCTTAAGCAGGCTTCATGCCCAGCATAGAGACGAATGCAGGGCTTGATCTCAGGGTGACATCATGACCTGAGCTGAGATCAAGAGTGGAATGAACCAACTGAGCCACACAGGCACACCAGATTTATTATTAATTGTGCTTATTTTATTTGTAAAGAGTGCACAAAGAAAGCTTAGACCATTTCAGCAAGGTATAATATACAGTAACTAAATGGGCTACTGATTTTATGGTTTCCTTTTCTCATTAAATTCATATTACCCTGTTTGATTCAATAATTAAGACAAAATCATGGCAATTATTTCTAGTAATCTTTTGGAAATGTAACAATGAAATCTTCTCAAGTGTTTTAAATATGCAACACATTAAGTTGGTTTCTAAATATGTTTAATCCTGTATTCAGCTCTCAATAATAATTTGTAACCTTTTGTCATCAAGATAAGAACTACCTTTTCTTAGAAGAGAGACCTTTTTTTGTTTGTTTGTTTTAAAGAACTACTTTAAGAACCACTGAGAGATAAAGGTATTTGTTGCTTTCACTGTGAAAACTTTATGTAACTCTCAGTATCACAGAGGGAGTAAATGAACCTCTTATGAAAGATTTAGATGCAATGAATGGAGGTTAATTTATGTCATGTGCATATTTAATGCTCTGAGATTGTAGAATAACAGTAGCCAAGTTAATGAAAGAAGGGCCAAAGGATGAAGAAGGCCCTTTCTTTTTATTCCCCACATGTCACCAAGTGAATATATTCTAATAGTCCCATGACCTGGAGTTTAACCACAGACAGGGAAGACAGTATGTTTGGTTTGGGCTGCGTGTAATTTTAGAATACAGAATTTCTTGTGTTGCATAATTTTAGAGTTCAAGGCTTGGACTGTCCAGTCTTATAGATGCTTTAAACTCTTATTAACCAAGGCTTATTCCTTTATCACCCTCAGTGCTGGTGGCACACCATGGTCAACCACTGTTACCACTAATTGCTAGTATTGAGGGGACCTTACCTCACTCATGATCCTGGATCCTACCCCTGACCAGCTGAAGAATAATGGAGGTATGAAGGTTTGTAGTACACAGGCAATAAATCGTATTAGCAATAACAGAAATGAACTGGTTTACCCTCCCCCCGCCCCCCAAAAAAAAACTGCTCTGGAAAGGCACTTCTGCTGTACATCTCTTTGGAGAGCAGTGGTGATCCGAAGAAATGCTTCCTCTTGAAAGAACCTTTTTTATTCACAGTGGAATACTCTTGAATTTTGCAGATCGTCAAACACACACAAAAAGTTTTTTTTAATAGTTGAGGAAATAAGCCTAAAGAAAATGTGTACCTAATCCTATTAGCTGACTTAATATAGAATTATTAAAAGCCTTGATATACAGGATTTAACACAATCTTTCTAGCAGGGTGTGATGTAATCTGTTTTTGTTCCTCAGCTAGCAGATGGCTTACCTTTAAGTAATTTCCAATATGTTAAGAGATCAAAAGCCATCCTCTCGCCACCGAGGCAGTAATCGTTCTTCTCTGCTGGGGGTTGCTTGGTACTGTGGTAGGGATATGCAAAGGCTCCTGGCATTTCCAAAGATAGAAGGGCGACATTTCTTCAGACTTTGAAGTTAATAATCCTTCAGAACTTAAAAAACTGAGGGATTTTTCAAAACCCTTTTAATGTTCTATATGCCATGTGCAAAAGTAAATATCTGTAAGAAATCACTGAGGGCTGGCGTGAAGCTTGGAGGAGCACTCTGCAATCTCCCAAGTCATGGACTGGCACGATCTCTCGCTGCTGAGGGTGTGAATAAGTTGTGCTTCCATCAAGTACTACTGTTCGGAGGATGTGATTTGTGTGTTGAATGTTTTAAGAATGATGCTAGAAATAAACTCAGTGAAATTCATTGACTGTGCCTGCCATTGATGAGCCCAAGCAGTGGCATTATGACAGGTCTGTCTATTGCTGCCATCGAGGCGTGACTGTTTGTAAGGCTGTGAGACTTTCAACTGCTTCCTTATGCGTTTGTTTTGTTGTTGGAAATGATCTGTTGGTAAAGAGAGAGGGTAAATTGGCACTCAGGATTTGCATTCAGGATCAAACATTTTCTGTTTGATCTTTACTACTAGAGAGAAAAGTGTTCTGTATCTTGACAGTTAAATATGCTTCTAATGGACCCAGAGCCTACAGTCTTTATTTGTAAAATTTAATTCATATTTTCATGATGTGCTCAGTGATAGACCTGCTGAATTTTGAGTGCAGACAAACCTGTGTCTCAAGGTTTGTTACCACCTTTGCTTAAGGCACTTGCTTTTTTTACAGAGAGGTTTCATTTTACTCTCTGGACCAGTTATTTTTCATGCTACTTAAAATGAATAAAAGTCTCAGTAAGAAAATATATTCCAGCCATACAGGAGCCCTAAGATTGTATCTTCCTCTTGGAGATACAATGGATTGTTTTAACTTAAATGTCAGGTCAGTTTCCTCTACTATCACCCCCTCTTTTGGCTTAGCCATTTGATGGCTGGAATGTTGGCAGGCAGTTAGTTGATGGATAAATAGCACTTAACAGTCTTCAAAAGTGATAGAGGGAGAAAATTTGAAATAGAATTCAGAGGTATGTGCAAGAACCATTTGGAAAAGATCCATTTGGAAAGGAGGTAAGGGCAAATGGCGTGGAACAAGAAAAATTATGAAATGGGGACTTGAAATGCCCTAATACCATTTTACCACAACACAGAAAATCACGCATGAATACAGACTACCTATTTTCCCCAAACAGATTCACCACACTGTTTGGAGCTGTAAGTAATATCTGCTTTCTGTTCTTATGGGCAATAATATTCCTTTAAGTACTCAAAAGTGTCTACCCCTAACTATTTTATAAGATACTCCCCTTCTGAGAATTTTCTATTATTATAAGTACCCAGGAATAACTGATCCAAAGAATAAAATGAAACCTCTTCATAATCAAAGGCAAGAGCTGGTAAGAGTTAGGTGAATGATTTATCATGACTCTCACACAAATCTCCCGGCTGTTCATGAGCTCATTCCTTCTTTCCAGAATTATTTCAATACCACTGCTCCCCATATTCTCTGGAATCTCTTATCTTGAAAACTATTGCCGTATCTCTGTTTTCTTGTCTTCAGGATTAAAGGACCCACAAGGCTAGCTCTTTTTTTTGGCCCCACAGGGTGTAAAAATATTTTCTCTCAAGTTTAACTATACTTTACTTAAGGCCACTTGCTTCCTCGTGGGTCTTTCCTAGGTTCACTACACTCATTGTGAATGCAGGTACAGGATGTGTCACTCAAACACAAGGCTGAGAGAATGGTAGGCCACCAGTTTATCCTTTCTTCAGTCATGTTTCTAAAGATAGTCTGACTTTGAATGGAATGTGTAAAAGCTAATCATTAATTCCTGAGGAGTTTGGGAAAGAGTGAAATTTTGAAAGTCCGTGTTTCTGTCAGCTTGGATAATAATTGCCCATCTTCTGAGATGAGAGAGGTAAAGTAGTCAACCCTCATTGGACTAGGTAAATGAGATTGAGAGAGGAGTGGAAGGGTAGTCATGTAAAGTGAAAACTTAAGCATAGAAACAAAACTAGAGTTATAGCTTAGTCATTCAGTATTGTCATGTGTTGTTAAGGAACAACATGATCTACAACTGGCTCACTCCCAAAAATTGCTTAACACTTAAGGAATAGTTGTTTGCTTCTTCCCGCCCCCCCCCCCCCCCCCCACCTAAAAGAGAGGACTCAAGGCTTGAGATTTCTGGGCTTGCTGTTAGGAGGAAGAAATGAGTAAGAGACTGAGTGGGAGGACCTTGTCTTTTCTGCTTCGATTCCTTGCAAACAGAGCTGATCTCCTAACCCCTTCTGTTTGTCTTCAAGGAAGTTACAGTTAGCAATAATTAGCCAGTGACTAATTATTCAGCTCCCCTTCCCCATAGGTCTGTGCCCCCCACATCCCTGCTGCACCTGAACCATAGTTAATCCATGAATCTATAAGTCAACTGTGGATAACGTCAAATTGATTCTATGTTTGTCAGATAATTAGGTATCTAGTTTTGAAACATGGGATAATTTTAGATCATGCATCAATGTGACAGCTCACAAGAAAATTGTGATAATTCTCATAGAGTTCTGATTCCTTGAAAGGAAAATAGTGCATAAACTACAAGGCTAGCTCTTTTTTTTTTTTTTTGGCCCCACAGGGCATAAAAATATTTTCTCTCAAGCTGAGGTATAGAAACATATGCTCTCCAAGTGATATTAGCTTGTGGAAAGTTGATAATTACCAACCTCCTTCTCCATCTTCCTGTTTCACAGGCCAGGGAATGTGTTAATTTTCTACACTCTGGACTCAGACTCTGGATTCCTATTCTTGTTCTTTTGTTTAAAATACTGGGAAAAAACCTACCTGGAGTGCATGCAGAATCACAGTGCCAAGAAGGACCTTTGGAGGTCAATAAATTCATCTCTCTGCCTTTCTGTAGGACTATGCCCCATGCCACCCAGTTGAGAACTCCTGGGATTTTGAGGCAGTGTAGGATGAATGTGGGATATCTTCTGACTCCAGCACACAGTCAAAAACTCAGCCCAGCAGTGAATGCACAGCACTTTCTGTCTTCCTACTGTGCCCTGAGTAAAGACTTTTCACTTCATACATCATTCACAACTTGCTACAGGGATTTCACAAAGCCAGTACATACCCTTTACACAAAGAAAAGAAGAAAAAGAACAGGTCTAGGGAAAAAGGGAAAAAACAAAGATGTGTCTGCCAACTGTAGCATTATCAACATGGAAATTAACAAGGCACAGTGTAGTTCGGGATATTAATTAAACAAATGGAGCTTCTTACTCTAGTCACACATTTCACATTTCAATAACAGAGTCAAACATAGTTAGGCAGTTTCATTTTCTTACTGGGCTCTGGTGCCCTGAGGAGCAAGGCAAAAGAAGATGGAAATTGGAAGCGCCTCTTCCCCTAGAGAGATGCTGAGTTAGTCCCATCTGGCTCAAAAAAACCCAGGGTCCTAGAGGAGAGTGCCACATAAAGGTACTAGAGATACTGTCAGTGCTGGGTGTGCCCCCAGCTGCCCCCAGCCGTGCCACCAGCTGCCCCCAGTGACTGAAGGAAAAGGCCCCAGGAGAAGAAGGGGCATCTTAATTTGAGTCTTGGAATGTCCCAAGCCAAGATTTCTCACAAAGAGGTGAAAAGACAACTTATTTATTGCTAATACTTGAGGGATTTTTCTTTTTCCACAAGATGATGGCTATAAGCATGATTATTTTCTGACTGACACTTCTAAATAGTAATTAGAACCCCCATTCTAATATTGTATTATATTTTATATTACATACTGGTTGGGCGTCATAGTAACTTGATGGGCAGATTTGCATGGAAGAAATCGAGATTTAGTCAGAAAAATTAATCATAGAGCTATTAGTTTCCAAGTAGTGAATTAATTTAGGAAAACTAGATAGGTAATTTTCATTGTCTTTTCCTCTTGAGAAATACAGTATGTTGATTTTTGAAGCTTAATTTAAAAAAAATCTGGAGCTATAAGCCTGGCTTTATTATTACTGAGTCATCTTAGGCACTAATAGCTCATTCTCTTCTCTCGACTTACATTCACCCATGTCCTTTTCCCTAAGGCTTCATGAAGAAATGAAGGACAAGTTTTTTGCTACATCTTGGTCCTAGATCTAAAAGCCCACCAAGTCCAAGTCCACTGACCTGTAGACTGAGCCTAGGCTCACCATTCAAGTTACTAAAAACCAGGTGGTGTGTATATAGTGTTCCAGGATGTGTCTGCCCTGCCCCACTGTCCTTAGCTTGCCAGGCCTGGTAGCCCTTCCCACACCACCTGCCACAGACATGCAAAGAACTTAGGTAACCATATATGACCTCCACTTACTCAACAAGCTCTGCCTTTTTCTTGACTCTCTGGTTTCTTGATCCCCATCTTTTCTTGATCTTTTTCCTGGTCTCCCACATCCTCTCCTGACTCTGGGTGTGGGGTATCTATTCTGATTCCTCTTTCTGCATTATTAGAAACTAA